TTCGATGTGATTACCAAAGCTTCTTCGACATCTGAACGTCGACTTATGATAGACATTTCTGCAGCTCGACAGGCGTATAACGAGAACGAAATATCGAATGTGGGACTTGTGCCCTCCGAGCACAATATTGCAGACGATTTAACCAAGCCAAAGTTTTGCAAGTCCCTGGACGAGTTGATGCGTACTGGTGTAGATTTGAATCCTGTTGAACAAGGGATTATTCGCTCTCCAAATGGCTCGTCTTTTGAAGTGGGGGGAGTGTGAGTGTGCGTGTTGACCTATGAAACGAATGGTGTGGGACCGGGTGTATTCTTCCCCGTAATGATGATTTGCTGTGTGGACAGAACTTTCACTTCCTATTGATGATTTACTATTGTTTGTATGAGAGTATAACGATCTTTTATGGTCGTATTGTAGTTGCTCGCAATTTGGATTATGTGAGCGAACTGGGTTGAGGTAGTATAAAAGGGTAGGCTTCTGACTCGACTAGCGAGAAGAATGAAGAGCCCAGCGAAAAAGCAGATACACACAACACATCAAGGTCAGAAGCTTCCGTCCGTCGGAAGACCTGGATGAGTAAAACACCGTTCGTCGGTGTCACCGTTTTTTTCCAATTACTGTATTTTCCAGCCTGATTTTTCAGTATTTCTACACTAAAGATATTGCTTTCTAGGTATCAATAATGTTCTATGCAAGAACTGTGTCATTGCATGATCATAGGCTCGATTGATACACAGGTAAGGCCATGTCATAAGAAGGTTCATCTTTGTGCCGCAAATTCATGGTTCCGCTAAAGGTCTATTAATTTGCGTTGTTACAGTAATTGGCAGTAACTGGGTGTAGAGAGCTGACCGACCTTACAGACTGTACCCGCAAGATGCCCCCTTCCTTTTGCCTTCCTGGCACTTTTTGAACAAACAGCCTTTAAGACGGCAGCATTCTATCTATTGTATAGGCGGTCGACGTCTGCAATATCTTCATGTTGGGCCATTCAGCATTTTTTTGGCGACGTTTCTTAACCGTATCTAAATTCATCGTTATAATCTTGCAAACAATCAGGATAGTCAGCTTGAACACATTGAAATCTCCGGAAACCACTAAAGTATAAACTCTAGAAAACTGTATTCGAATGGGTCAAAAAAGCAAGTTTTTCAAGAGCCCTCGAAAAACGCTTCTCCGATAGGCGTTCCTAAAAAAAAAGCCCCGAGAAGGACGTACAAGCCTCCTCGGTGCTTTTCCTGCTTCCACACAGAAGTTGTGTATGTTGCTGGGAATACTTTTCCTACTCATATCAAGCTAATGAAAGTGCAGAAGAAGGCGTTTGAAGCGGACTCATACATGATCAATCGATTTAATTTGCCTTTCATGTCGCAAAAGCTAGAGCGTTTACATTCACATTTGGTGCCCTGCGAAAGTTTTAGAGCAGGTCCAGTGAAATAGCTAGCTTTTAGTGGAAAGAAAAGATGTACGTTTTTTTTTGTTTCTCCCTGCACCTGCGGTCCCCTAAGACACAGCACGGAACCGATGCTATTCCTGCGATTGAGTGCATTAGTGATTGTCTGAAAACGAGGGTGCATGTGACATGAAGGAAAGGACTTTTAGCTGTGGCAAAGACGTTTGAGGTTTGGCGAAATGTAGTGGAAGAAAGGTTCGGAGGTTTTTGTCGGACAGGACAGGACGAGGTAGGGTGTGGGGTTTCAATTTGCGTTGAGGAGGGATAGAGTTGTGTGCAGGTAGGTAATTCTTTACAGCACATCGAGTTGGACTCTGGGACAAGTTGTGTTGATGAAGAGAGAAATGTTGGATGGTTGGAATTGGTTGTTGTAGTGATTCGAGGAGTTTTTCGAATGGAGAGTGAGGTTTGGAGAAGTAGGAGGTGATGAGGATGATAGGGAAGTTGTGGCAACAGACGGTGGGGGAGAGGGCATGAGCAGTGCTCGCACACGTGGTCCTACTGAGTCATGCATGGTGTGGTGCTGTCGTTTATTTAAGGTGAGGTATGACGATTGAACGGGACAGAAGCTTTATTTTTTATTTTTACGTGACTTGGGGATTGTGTGAAGGTGTGGTATACTGTACATGAGGGATTAGGATGAGGATGTGCGTTGGTTTCAAGAAACGGAAAAAAAGAATGGGATGATGGAAGCAAGATGGGTTGAAAGAGCAGTGGTCTATAAGACAATGAAATCATGCGTGTTACAGTAGGGCATTGGTTGTTTGATGGGGATGTTTTGTTGGAGGGCTCTGCGGTAGGTGATGATGTTGACTTTGCGGTATTGTCGTTGCAAGCATGAGAGGGTGTAGACAGTAATGCTGTTAGAGCATTGCCAGCGTACTGTAGTAGAATCAGAGGGCATCGGCACCGGTAGAATCAAATACATTTATAGAGCATTGCCAGCGGTGGAAGCAAAGAGGTTTGCAACCAGTAGAATGCAAGAGCATTGCTATCGGTAGAATGCAAGAGCATTGCCACCGGTAGAATGCAAGAGCATTGCCAGTGATACTGTAGAAGCAAAAGGGCATCGGCAGCGGTAGAATCAAATCAAATATACTGTACTGGAGAGCATCAGCAGGGGTAGAGAAAAGGAAATAAGTAAAATTTGATGATTGTGGTGGACGATTGGTGTACACGTTGGGGCGTTTCCATGCTTGGCACTGTGATTCGGTAGTGTTTTGCATGAGTGTACAGTACCAAGGGTACAGTACACGTTCTGTAGTTACTGTACTGAAGTGGTAGAGTAGGGACAGGCGCGCTACGGACAGGTGAAGGGAGCCTGTCCGTACAGGATTCCATCATTTGTTACGTAGAAAGAAGGAATGGTGCAGGCGAGATATACTGTACCCTTGGGTACTGGACCGTTCGGTACAGTAGCCGCAACGGGGCACGAGTACAAGTGATTGTAGTGATAAGGGTGGAGGCGATTTTTCAGCAATCAATTTAGAGGTGATTTTGTCACCCATTGATTCGATAGCTACTTCTCCGGGACCAATAAGGGGGGAGCACCAGTGTGGTAATGTTACGTATAAAGCAAAACAAACGGTGTGAGTAGAAAAGTAGTGCGAGTCAAAGGCCGGGGTGTGGTTGGCGTCGCTGTCCCGTTCTCGCGTATGGTCGGTGGACATGGAAGCGACATACGGCGCTGCTTACTGTAGTGTACCGTACACCACGAGTTGGAAGTGTGAGTGGCGTTCCATAATCAATAAGTTAGGGAATCTCTCCGATGACCTGGCGCGGGGCGAAACGCTTCTCCTCCCGCGGGGGGAGGGCACGTGCCGCCGAAAGCCGGGCACTGTAGGCCTCGCTGGGCGTCTCTGCCTCACACGGCGACCGTCTGAATGAGCAAGCGAGTGACGTTAAGCGGCGGGTGGGGACATGTGCAGGCGACGGATTCGAGAGATCGAAAAGGATCTGCCTTGTCGACTCGACCGCGGGCGCGAGTAGCGGGGAAGGAAGCGGGGAAGGAAGCGGGGAGGGGCACGGCAGCGGGCGAGCGTCCCGAGAAGCGGAGAATTGGTCCTTTTCTACGCGCGCGCGCGCCGCCGCCTCGCGCTTCGTAGCACACGTGTGCGGCTTATGCGGAGCAGGCGGGAGACGTTTAACTGTACCCTTGAATGGTCGACTTTATTGAGAGAGTACCCTTGGTACTGTACCCTTCGAAGGGTAGTACCTCGGTTCCAGCTCTTCCGCCGCCGCCCAGGCAGCATGCTACGGATCTCCGGGCGCTGCGCTGCTCGCGCTATGACAACCTCGCGCGCCCTTGCGTGCGGGGGGGGGGAAATTCGCGGGGGGCTGACACGTGTGTCGAACCGAGGGGG